TCTCTAGCGTTGTAAGTCCGCAGACATTTTGCTGTGCCACTGGAGGGTGGGACACCGAGTTTGTTTGTAGTTAGGCACAAAACTACACAACGAGCTATCTGTACTCTGCCCACCACGGGTATCGAAACCCGGTCTCTAGCGTTGTAAGTCCGCAGACATTTTGCTGTGCCACTGGAGGGTGGGACACCGAGTTTGTTTGTAGTTAGGCACAAAGCTACACAACGGGCTATCTGTACTCTGCCCTCGACGGGTATCGAAACCCGGTTTCTAGCGTTGTAAATCCGCAGACATATCGCTATGCCACTGGAGGGCGGCACACTGAGAAACAGAAGCTTTATTATGGTGATTAAAAAACTGCCACAGAGGGTGATAAGTACGTTTTCTGACGTTCTCTATTAACATATCAAGCCTATCCTTAAATTAAACTACTGTAAGGATTATCTGCTCTAGAAAATGTTCACTGATCTTTGCAAGTTCCTGCACGCTAATATGAAATTTCATTAATCTTGTATTGATGAAAGAGAGAGAGAAAAATTGATGACGAGGAACCTACGTTTAGAAAATAACGTTTGGAAATGTTTTGAATGGGTAATGAAAGACAGTTTATTACAATTAACAAATGTACAACGCTTCGACAAGTTTTTGTCATTATCACCAGATGATGACAAAAGCTTGTCGAAACGTTGTACATTTGTTAATTGTAATAAAGTTCCTTTCATTACCAATCAAGCTGTCTCCAAACTTTATCAAAGAGAGAGAAAGAAAATTGTCTACAGTATAATATGGTTCTGAGTAAAATGTTGATACATTTTGTTCCCTTATGAGACTTATAATTATTGAAATATAATCATTTTAAAAACAGGTTTACTACATAAAATTCCTGTACTTCGCTAATAATATTGTTACGCCTCCAGTCGTTAGTTAATTTTCCGTAAATTCGTTCCGACGAAACTTTAGCGACACAAGTCCTTTCTTAATAAAACTGGTTTATTCTTTCCGAATACAACTTTACGATACACTTAATTTCAACAGTCGCGCTATAACAAACGCTATATCTCACGTGGCCAACAATATTTTGTCCGCATACATTCAATTACTCATTACACTGTTGTCCCGTCACGTTGTGAGCGTCTTATATATATATATATACCAGACTAACATATATCTAGTAAATGCTAGGGCATTCACGAATGAACAGGATATTTCTAGAAAACGTGGCGTGACACTAGTCACGTGACCTCGCTGACGCAACAATATGAATCAATTTCATTTGGTTATAACTGAGTTAGGGTTGTTAATTATTCGCTCAGCAATTTCTATATAATAAATTACCAAACAGTTTTTTTTCGACATTCTTACTCGATAACTTGATAAAAAAAAAAAAAACTGATAAAGCGAAATGTTTCTGGGAATAGAATCCTTTACCTGAAGGTTAGTGGTACTTATTAGTATTTTAAAAAGACAATTTTATTAAATGTGGTAACATACTAGATATTATATTTATTTCGCCTGATCGTTTTAAGAAACCAGCTTAATAATGGCGTATAAAACGTAGCTGTGGTACATGGATTATAGGCCTCGTCAGTAGCGACGTACAACTAACAAAGTGTAGTTGAATCGGTATTATGCACAGTTTGTGCTGATAACATGTAATTAGCCAATTAAAATTTCTGTGTTTAATTGCCATGAAAGTAACCATACTGTCTTTAGTGTTATAAACGGTATAATTTCTCTTATAAGATAATACTGTTACATCTCCGTTTGTTAATTGATTTTCCGTAACTTCGTTCCGACGAAACTTAAGCGAGACAAGTTCTTTCTTAATAAAACTGGTTTATTCTTTCCGAATATAACTTTACCGATACACTCAACTTCAACAATCGCGCTAAACAAACGCTATAACAACGAACGTCAATAATACTTCTGACTGCAGTTCAATTACTCACTATCTACACAGACAATACCGCGTCACGTTGTCCCCTCTTATATATACCAGTCTACCCTCTATCCAGTAAATACTAGAGCATTCGCCAAAGTACTGGATAGTTCTAGAACGTGGCGTCACAGTAGTCATGTGACTCGATGACGCAACACTACTACAACTGGTACTTTGTGGTACTTATGCTAACAAGTAAAAATGCTAAGACAAACAGAAGATGTCGAAACGTTGTGTCACTGCTTTACAGGGGCATTGATAAATTACTCAGCATAAAAGTAAACCGTTTGCACAATATATCAGTAAAGTTCGCCAATTTTAACTGTTTATAAGTTATAACTTAATATTCTCGAACAGTATCCGCCTATAGCGAGTGCATCAAGTTGTATCAAAGACATATTTTGGACCTTCAATACCAAATACACGAAAATACGGTTCTTACTTGTATTACTCCAAAGTGCACTAAAACAATAAACGCCAGCACGTTAGTATTCTCGTTATTTTTTTTTATATAATCCACAGCTATTTCTGTAAAACATTCGTCTAACAAACAATGTGAACAACACAACAATGTTTTAACAAACAATGTGAACGACGCAACACTATTTCCACGAGTTTTCATCAACAAGTGTTGAAGTTTTACTTCGTTATTTGATATAAAGAACCGTTGTTATTAAAGCTGCATAGGACAGTGGATTCAAACTTGGCAGTTTATGCTGTTGGTGAGCGTTTACTTCAAATTGAAAAATAAGATTTAAAAATAAAGTCTTGTTTGTGAAACTTATCTGTTAGACACTGTGACAAAGAAAGCTTGTGATTCTCTTCGCCAAGACTTGACGTCATGATAAACAGCCAATAACAATTCGCGATAGAAATCATAACAATTTTGTTACTGACATGCGTACATCTAATAAATTTTTATGGAAAAGTAAGTTCGAAACGAATACCTCGATATTAGAAACTATTTTGATAAACTTATATTTTCCCAAGTTTGACAGTGTATTTAGCAGCACTGAACAGTTGACCAAACTCTAAAATACAAAGTCCTCACAGATAGTAGTTGCAGTGGATATGTCTGGATCTCAGTTTAACGACCTTCAGAATAAGTGAGACGATACTGTACGGAGCTTTGGTGTATTTCTTCAACATTACTTATATACGAGCTTTGATGTCATGTAGGAGAAACAAAAACAAAAAAGAAATTACCGATAGCACGTACCAGTGATTCTATGTAAATTTGTATTTATATTAAGGCCGTTCCTTTTATATACTTTGTTTGGGAAGGCTGAGGACGTATTGGGTTACAGGTCACGTGACACGTCATCCATAAAGGGGAATGAGTTTATGAAAGCTTTGTGAGCACATAACGGCACCATCCCTCTCCCGTACGCCGGAATAGTTGTATTTAGCCTTCCGCACCCTACCCTCTTCCTTCTTATATTTTTTATTTTCTTATTTAAAGCTAACTTGCACGGAAGAAACTTACAACAGATAGATATAATTCAAAGTAAGTGAATATTAACTTCCGAACATAGCAAGCTATTTACCAGATAAGAAAAAAATTACATATATATATATGTATAAGAAGAGCTGCTTGTCATTTGTATGTAAATTCTGTAGTTGTTTATATATATACGAGTACTTCTGATTCACAAGAAGTCCTGTAAGTTATGTAAACCAAAACTTATGGACCTCAAACCGTACCTAATATTGGAGGCAATACAAATTTTCGTTCACAGTTGAACCATTATTGCATTAAGTAAAGAAACTGGGGAAGAAGGGTTCCGATAACGTTTATTTGACGAGGAGTTGTTGTTCATCTACATCATTTTTAGCTTGGCTCGGTTACTTAATTTGTTTACTGTGTAGCATTTGCCTGTAAATTCTGTATAAGAAGAAACTGCTTGAGTCTTAAAGTTGTTATTACAGCACACCTTACATTAATGCATAGGTCAGCTTTACTTGAGATTTTTTTATTTAATTTGTTGAGAACGCCGGACAGTTGTTGTGACGAGGTGCTGTTTCACAATTTAATGGAGTGATTTTTTTTTCTGATATTACATGTTTAACAGGTCGTAGCTACGGGCGTTTACGGTAAATATAATATACATCTTGTTAAGGGTTTGAATTTCCACTGTCTTTTATAAGTGCATGTAAAATCTAAGCATTGATCGTAATGAACAGGAGGCCCCTTAATTCTCCGTTGCTAGGGATGAGGATGCATGTCGGGATGCGAGTGACGTCAGTTTCAGCGTACATCCAGCTTAGTAGTGCATCTTCGGAGCCGCCACATTGGCGAGACCATTTACTGGAGTTCAAGCTAGGCGGTAACGGGAGGGAAGACATCCTCAAAGTGGACCCTTCACGACACATTATTGTGATGACATGATATTCGTATGTTGTCGACCCTTAAAACGACGCACGTGGGGGTGTAATTCGTGTAAAGAAGTAGTCCAACGGTCTTGAACAGTCTGGGAAAGGCTTTGGGGAAACAAACAGACGACCTTAAATCTGCGTTGTTTGTTGAAACGGTAGTGGCTGTGCGTTGAAACTACTAAGTTGAACACATAACCGTTATTTTCGAAGTTAAATTAGTATAACTTGATCGTATATGCCCAGCCTTTCAAGTATGTAAACTTCCTTATTGATGACGGCATGGAAAATTAAAACTTTAACTATCTCGAGGAAACAGTTTGTGTAGTGCAAATGAAACGTGACGTTCGTTTTTCTGACAGAGTTATAGTTATTTGCCCTGTCTTCTACAGTGTTAATTGTATAGATATCGCATAACTTGGTTCTATGTTTGTGTTCCGCTACAAAAATGCTTTTGTGTAATTAGAGGTAGGCTTGTCTTCCTGTGGTTACTGTAACTTGTAAGTAAAATAACGCATGGAGCGAGTCTGTATGTGCGAATGTATATCCTGAGAGCCTGTTCGTCAAAGATTCCGTTGTCTGCAAAGAAAATGTAGGGTTGTTCCTCTCTAGTCCCAACTCCCAGTCCTATACAACATACGCTCGAGTACGTCACACAAACATGGCCACATTCCCAAGGTCCAGAGGATCTCGCAGTGTTACTAGTCCTCCCAAACGTAGCCTAATTTTAACTGGTCTGGAACAAGTTCCATTTAGAAGGTAAGAAAAATATACTTACTCTTCTGCTCACCTGAGCTATTTATATTCTATTAAATATCGTCAGTATTTCGTAAAGGTGGAAATACAAAAGTCAGTGTGACATTTTCAGTTCACCGTCATGAACCATACTCGTCTGTAGTAGTTTTATATGTGTGAAATAGTAAAAGAATCATTGATACAAATGTCGATAGATGTCGGAATTATAAATCCACTCTCCTGCTTATTGTAGTACGAAAATAATAATTAAAAGATATAAAATATTTATATATAATAATTTACCAAATTGAGACTCCGATCATTAGTCTAAAACTGAAGTATGGGACTATTATAATTATAGGCTCGTTAAACAAGTGAAGATGGTGATTGAAAATATTTATCAACACATGATAATAGTTTTCTTAACCACTGTTATAATTAAAAGAAAAAAATTCTTGTTACATTCAATTACAAGCACATATCTATTTCAGGCCTTATCAATTTCGAAATACTAAGGAAAATTATATAAACATCACAAAATTTGAGTTAAGGGCACCATAACTTTCTTCTTGCATTACATCCTGCATTTAGTTGAATATAAACATAGGGTTACTGAAGGATCAAAACTATATATTGTTGCTGAAGGATCAAAGCCATATATTGTTACTGAAGGTTCAAAACCATATAGTGTTACTCAAGGATCAAACCATATATTGTTACTCAAGGATCAAAACCATATATTGTTACTGAAGGTTCAAAACCATATAGTGTTACTCAAGGATCAAACCATATATTGTTACTCAAGGATCAAAACCATATATTGTTACTGAAGGTTCCAAACCATATAGTGTTTCTCAAGGATCAAAACCATATATTGTTACTCAAGGATTAAAACAATATATTGTTATTGAAGGATTAAAACCATATATTGTTACTCAAGGATCAAAACCATATATTGTTACTCAAGGATTAAAACCATATATTGTTATTGAAGGATTAAAACCATATAGTGTTGCTGAAGGATCAAAACCATATATTGTTACTCAAGGATCAAAATGATATAGTGTTGCTGAAGGATTAAAACCATATAGTGTTGCTGAAGGATCAAAACCATATATTGTTACTCAAGGATTAAAACAATATATTGTTACTCAAGGATCAGAACCATATAATGTTACTCAAGGATCAAAACCATATAATGTTACTCAAGGATCAAAACCATATAATGTTACTCAAGGATCAAAACCATATAGTGTTACTCAAGGATTTAAACCATATAATGTTACCCAAGGATCAAAACGATATAGTGTTGCTAAAGGATCAAAACCATGTGGTGTTACTGAAAGATAAAACCACATAGTGTTATTGAAGGATTAAAACTATATAGTGTTACTGAAGGATTGAAACCATATAATGTTACTCAAGGATCAAAACGATATAGTGTTGCTGAAGGATCAAAACCATGTAGTGTTACTGAAAGATAAAACCATATAGTGTTACTGAAGGATTAAAATCATGTAGTGTTACTGAAGGATGATAACCATGTAGTGTTACTAAGGGATAAAACCATGTAGTGTTACTAAGGGATAAAACCATGTAGTGTTACTGAAGGATCAAAACCATATAGTGTTACTGAAGGATAAAACCATGTAGTGTTACTGAAGGATAAAACTAATATAGTGTTACTAAGGGATAAAACCATGTAGTGTTACTGAAGGATCAAAACCGTGTAGTATTACTGAGGAATCAAATCATATAGATGAAAACCATGGCTACATGCTGTATAAAAACGAAAGTATGTGCACATCGTTTGTTATTCATATCTTTAGTGGATCCAGATGTTAACCAAACGTCTTGCTAAAGGGTATAAAGAGCGTAGGCGTATAGGGAACCGGAGCAATAGTCGAGCATACTAATCAGGCTAGGGAAAAAAAATGCTTGAACTACAGCTGTTTGTATTTAAAAAGTCGGCCTAACTAATGTGAAAATATTAGTTTTATAGTGCAGTCTGTTTACATACATAATACTAAATTATTCTCAATTGTTCAGGTAATAAATACTAAGTGAATAGTGAAGGGATCTCCTACAGAACGTTATCTGGCGAACACCATGCTACCATAGCAATCTTTTACGGAATGTTACCGGTGAACGCCTCGTTTCCATAGTTTCCAGAAATCACCTTCAGTACCGTATATAATATTACTACTGTATAGCCCGTCAAAAATATCGGGGCAAGTACTACCACCCTCACCCCATAGTATATCCTAACTTCACATTTCATAGCTAACTGAAATAAATAAATTTTGCGAAATCAAGCTTGACCAACAAAGAGACCGAAAAGTGCAGTAGATGCAGTCAAACGTTGGTAAATTCCTTTGTGAGCCAATCAAAATTAAGATAATTCATGAAATAAATTCGTGGCGTGTTCATAGGATAATTAGTGGTAAAAATCAGTTAGAAATAACAACTTCTAATATATAGAAAACTCAGTGCGTTATAGTAACATTAGATTCCAACAATGGCTTTTATGTTATGTCGCTTAGCAACAAAAGTATAACTTAATATTGTTGATAATCTATATACTGAAAGAATAAAATGAAATGTGTAGACAACAAAACTGGAAACATATTTGTTTATTTCTTAATTTAGTCTCCGTTGATTAAAGAGGTTTGTTTTTTGTTTAAAACGTTGGTGATATAACAGAAAAGAGCTTAATTCAGAAGCCCTCCAGTGGCACAGTGGTATGGCTGCGGACTAACAACGCTAGAAACCTGGTTTCGATACCTTTAGTGGGCAGAGCACAGATAGCCCATTGTGTAGCTTTGTGCTTAACTTCAAAGAAACTTAATTCAGAAACGATTTAAAATTGAACCGACGTTTTTACTTTAATAATACATTTTAAGCACTTGGCTCTAGGATAGGTGATCCCACATACGTCTTCACCCCCTCACGGCCCCCTTGCACTCCCAAAATCGTAATGGGCAGACAGTAATCAAACTATTCTATCTGAAGAAATGCATTTTGGCTTTTGGGACTCCTCCTATTTCGAGAAATCAAGCGTGACGTAACACACATTGGATTTTATATTGGGTAGTTGTAAAATTGATTCATATGGTTTTATGTTTTTTCTTATAACGTTTAATCTTAATTTAGTATATTTTCGACAGTTTCAAGACAAGAGATGAAAGTTTTTGGGAATAAGTAGTGAACATGAAAAAAAAAGTTTTCACCCACCTTAAAATATAAAAGGATACATATAATAACTGGTGAATAATGATTGTGGTTTTTGATAGAGAAAACCAAATGAATTAAATCTTCAATTTTCTTCTTTTGTAGAGTCGTACGTGTAATGTATATAGTTTGTTCATGTAAACATGGTGCAATTTTCATTTAACGTTTATTTTTAGGCCTATGTGCCAAGAAACGATTACACAAGCCTGTAAATTTAAACTTCATAAAAGTTGTTTTGGTCTTAATAACGGATTTTCCATAATTCAGCTACGCAGATTTCGAAAATAATATTCTTTTTTTATCACGTAAGGATTTTTTTACAAATCGGAAAGAAAAAAACTGTTACTTAGATTAAATTATTATTTCGTTTATCACAATGAACATTTTTTATTATTACGTTTGTTAACAAAAATACAAACAAACTGAAGAAAATGGAAGAATATTGATGTCAAACGAGTATACATCCTCATTCATCCTGATTTTTTTTTTGTGAAATCTACGTCTTTTAGTCTCAAAACCACGTGTTATGGGCCTTTGCTTTATGTATTGCGTTATGACGTTTTGTGAAAAATCTGTACGCGATGGAGAAAAATGGATGCCATTTTTGGATTCAGCGTACAGGAATTATAGTAGAACGTATAAACATTTCAAGACAATAAAAAACCATCGCAGGCCTGTGTTATTATTAAATGCTTTAGTGTTAATGCTAATAGGCCTATATGCCAACATAACAAATATTACTCAGTGCTTTAACGCTAATACTACCAAGTGAATTTAGCTTTTCCACCTATCGGTATAATCAATTTAAAATTTCTGGATGTGTCCGTTTCTTTGATCTTTTCTATTGTAACATTTTAAGAAGTTCAGAGTTTAGCTATTTCGGCAGGTACTGCGTTTTTGACACCGTTGCGATGCTTTTGTTTGATTGGAAAGTTGCGAATACCAAATTATTTATCGAACTATATATCTAAATTATCAAAAAGAAAATTTTAGAATTTTCTTAATATTTGGTAAATACATACAGTGCGACTAATAATCAGTAATAGTTCGTTTTCTTTCAACGTTTGTAGTGCATACTGGAGGGATTTAGACATTGTATTTTCTATTTTCTGTCTGTGTGTTTTCAGTTAGTCATAAACAATATTTCGGTTCTCTTTATTTTTATATTAGTAATATATCTCATATGTTAGTATAGATAGCTACGTAATATAAGTATACTATATTGGAACAATAATGAAACAACAATGATATTTTATGCATTGTTGGAGACACGTGCGACAGACTCGAGAGATGGAACATCACAATAATTTTTTTTAACAATATCAAACAGTTTGTATGTATTAACCCTGAAGAAGCTGTAAAAGCGAAACGTTGGTAGTAATAATAAAACAAAAAATAAATTACATCTGGAGTGTAAAGGTCGTTTATCTAAACTTTTATGATAATAATCAGTAAGACAATGTTGGGTATAATATTATTCAACAAAAACATTTTCTCTCTATACAGTTATCTGCTTACGTGTGATTATATCAATAACTATCCACAAGTTTTATCTCTCAAATACATATTTTAGCATTGTTGTTTTCAGCTGTGTTAAATTTCACATTAGAAATTAGTCAATGTGTTTTATCAACGCAGTTTTAACTGTATTAAATTGTACGTTAGTCAATGTATTTTATCAACGCAGTTTTAACTGTATTAAATTGTACGTTAGTAAATGTATTTTATTAACATAGTTTCAGTTGTATTAAATTGTACGTTAGTAAATGTATTTTATTAACATAGTTTCAGTT